AGTCTCACTCTGTCACCCAAGCTGGAGTGCAGTGGCACACTGTCGGCTCATTGCAACTCGGCCTTCTGGGTTCAAGCAATTCTCCTGCCTCAGCCTCCCAAGTAGCTGGGATTACAGATGTGCATGACCATGCCCAGCTAATTTTTGTATGTTTAGTAGAGATGAATTTTGCCATATTGGCCAGGCTGGTCTCAAACTCCTGGCCTCGGGGCTCTTTTAAATAGTGTTTTCCTAGTAATGTAAGTATTTATTATAGATCTTTGACTATAGTAGTAGCTACAACAAGTCTTGAAACATATAACTAACATCTTAAGAAATACAGTTGTATTTCATGTAGAATAAAAATAAAGCATCTCTGAAAGTCTAGTTTCAGTGTGTGGGAAACGTGATTTGATATATAAAAATTCCATTCCCACCCAATTTTTAGGAAACATGTATAATATGTAAAGTGAAATAAGTTTCTGTAGAAAGAAGAACTCAACATTCACTACTGTTTTTTCAACATGGTAACTATAATTCTGCGTAAGAACCTCTCCTGCGGTAACTTTAGACTTTGGGAAATTTCAAAAGTTTTACTGGAATGTTAGCATCAATATCACTTCTCTCTTTTTGCTCTTTCCTTTCTACAGTTAAGTAAACTTTGAGGAAATATATTTTATTAATGTTTTCTGGCCAGGCGCAGTGGCTCACACCTGTAATCCCAGCACTTTGGGAGGCCGAGGCAGGTGGATCGCTTGAGCACAGGAGTTCAAGACCAGCCTAGGCAACATGGTGAAACCCTGTCTCTACAAAAAAATACAAAAATTAGCCAGGCATGGTGCATATGCCTATAGTTCCAGCTACTTGGGAGGCTGATATGGGAGGATCACTTGAGGCTAAGAGGTTGAGGCTGCAGTGAGCCAAGATTGTGCCATTGCGCTACAGCCTGGGCAACAGAGTGAGACCCAGTCTTAAATAACAATAATAATAATAATGTTCTCCTGTATTTATTAACAAATACCAAACACACACAAGTTTTATATTTCCAGAAAAATTCAACAGTTAATATTTAAAATTTAGACTTAGACTACTTAGGTGATTTGATAAACTACCTAAATGAGTGATTCTACATAGACCAGCAAAAAGCTGTAGTCATGTACCAGTTTTTTATTAGTAGGGTTAGTAATGATTTGCACTTACAAAATGCCTTACAATTTGCAAAGCACTTTCATGAATACGTTGTGACTTTTGCCAATCCTGTAAGATAAGTCTGTTTTAATCTTCTTTACAGATAAGAAAGCCTAGAGAGGTTAAATGATTTACTTCCAAATACCATGTGTTCTCATTTATAAGTGGGAGCTAAGCTATGGGTCCACAGAGGCATGCAGAGTGGTATAATGGACACTAGAGACTCAGAATGGGGGAGGGTGGAGGGGCAAGGGATAGAAAATCACCTGTTGAGTACACTGTACACTACTCAGATGACAGGTTCCCTGAAAGCCCACACTTCACTACTGTACCATTTATCCATGTAACCAAAAACCACTTGTACTCCTAAAGCTGTTTAAATAAAAAATAAAATAATATGATTTACTGAAGCAGTAACTCCCAGCCTTTTGCCACTCAACAGTCCTAAGGGATGACTTGCACTCAAATGGCAGTAATTTCCAACTAGGAATCAGGGGAGGCTATGCACATGGCTTGAAAGAGTCATACGTAGTTGATTCTGATGTGTGACCTGATGGAGAATTACTATATAAAAATAACATATTGTCATTATTAAAAACAAAAAGAGGGAAAAAAGATTTTAAAAAGAAAAATGACTCATAATCCTACCACCCAGAGATAATTAATGCTATTAACATTCTGGTGTATACTCAGTCTTTTATATGCATATTAACTTTTTTTCCCAAAAATGAGATTATAATATACATTGATTTTAAACCTTTTTCATATAAGTAATCACAGACACCTTTTCACTCCACTAAACACCCTTCTACAGCATCATTTTATAATAACTGCAGAATATTCCATTGTGTGGTACATGTTTGAATTCAAGATGTAAGTGATTTTATATGCTTTTACAATTCCCAATTAGTGTTATTCTGGTATATGCATATGTAATTTATTTAAAGGAATCTGAAATAATTTAAAAGCTATCTCTCTTCTAGTCACTTAATGGATGATCCTTAAGATAAATAATTTGTTAAATAACTTATTTATATTTGTGTATTTGTTTGAATAATCCATTTTTTGATCTCTTTGCTTTAGGGTGCAGTACTAGCCGCTGTGTCAAGTCACAAATTCAACTCATTCTACGGGGATCCCCCTGAAGAGTTACCAGATTTCTCTGAAGACCCTACCTCCTCAGGTAATTGGATAATTCACTTATTCATCTGTGTGAGTAATTTGGTATTTACATCCATTCTCTTCTGTTGTGAATAAACTTTTTCTGTGCATTTAGTTAAATCCTCCAACAGATTCTAAAGAAGTTTGTCAGCAACCAAATCCTGTCTACGTGTGTCTTGTTCCTTTTCTTTTTAATACCAAAATTGCTTTCTCCTGTGGCTCCAAAACCAACATTTCATTTTTTTTTCTTTTTACCTCAGTAATACTTCTTCCCCTTTCCACCCTCTAGACCCAGCATTGCACTCCATCCAATCGAAAATCCTAGTCAATCTTTTGGGATCTTTCTGATTACCTTCTCTCTCAACAAAAACTTCCGATGTAAGCTTTTCCCCAGATCAATTGTATTAGATCAGACTGTGGGGTAGCACTGCTTTGAATGGAATCTTTCATCGTAGAGCTGTCTTGTGAGTTACCTCTGGAAACAATTATCAAGTTCTTCTTTCTCTATAAAAATCTATAACACAGCCAGGCATGGTGGCTCATTCATGCCTGTAATCCCAGCGTTTTGGGAGACTGAGGTGAGTGGATCACCTGAGGTCATGAGTTCAAGACCAGCCTGGCCAACATGGCAAAACCCTATCTCTGCAAAAATACAAAAAAAAATTAGCCAGGCGTGGTGGCATGCGCCTGTAATCCCAGCTACTTGGGAGGCTGAGGCAGGAGAATCACTTTAACTTGGGAGGCAGAGGTTGCAATGATCCGAGATCATGCCACTGCACTTCAACCTGGGCGATAATGCGAGGCTCTGTCTCAAAGGAAAAACAAATCTATAACATATGCATACAAGTATCCAAGGGGAAGAACATAAAAGAGTTATTTGTTTTGATGAACTCTATATAGGTACTTCTGAAAAACCCTGCTGGTGTTCACAAAATTATTTTATAAGCCAGTGCAGTGGTGTGTGCCTGTAGTTGTAGCTACTGCGGAGGCTGAGGCACCCAGCTCAGGAGGATCACCTGAGCCCAGGAGTTTGAGGATGTACTGAGCTATGATCACACCACTGCTCTCCAACCTGGACAACAAAATGAGACCTCACCTCTTAAAAATTAAGAGATAAAAAATTTAAAAACCAAAACCATTTTATAAAATGCTCAGATTTACATCTTACAGTGTGATATTCTCAAGGATCATTTACTGAAAACCCATAGGATCCATTTATGTGTAAATGTGTATGTGTGTTTTAAATTTTTATTTATGCGTTTTTTTTTTTTT